TACTTCGACGTTCGCTGATAGAGGTTAGGTTCTAGTCCTGCGCTGCAGTTATTGTAACAAATTCATGCTCACCTTCAGGTGTGTGTAGTACATATTTCGTCACTCGATATTCTTACGTTGGACAATACATGTAAGTGCATGGTGTGTGTTCTTCCCATTCACAAACTGCGAGGCAGCCTTTCCAAGTAGACGAGTTCCATATTTAAAGTGCGTCAAATGTGTCGGGTGCTGAGTGTACGCTAGTGAAGTGCAGCGGTTTGTTGTAATGAATTGATTATTTGTTGCTGCGTAGGACGTGGAACCTTCGATTGGAAATGAGCAGTATTCTGCCATTGACTGCTGTTGCGTAACTTGTTTGCCTCACTGTTCATTCATACGTAGGGACTGAAACAATGTTCGTGGTGGAAGACTTATCGTAAGTCGACAGAACATCGGTCACACGATCGTCTTGCTGAAGACACGTAGGCTGTCTGCTTGGTAAGCTACTATTTTTAGAAGAAATTTGTGCTGTGTAGTTATTAGCATGATTTATATAACGTTAAGATTATCACAAAATCAAGTTTTTGCGTTCGTCCTTCTATTTTCAGGCGTTTGCATAAAAGAGAACATTTTCTTCCGCATAGCATAAGTTGGGTACTGTGTGTAAAATTAAATTGTGATGATCATATGTAGTTCGTATTATATTTCTCATGAGATATTGATGAAACATGGATTAAAGCGTTAATTGCTGTTTATGTGTTTATGTAAGCGTTTTACAAGTAAGGTAAATGCAGTATAGGCCACATATTAGTGATTCTGATGTTCTGGAGGCCAGTTTCGTTTCTCTGCCATTTTTGGCAAATTTGTTATAATATTGGGGGTTATTTCTGAACTTGTTTGAATGAAAATGGAACACTGGTTTGAGAGATTTAAAATTGCCATCCCGTAATTCCGTCACAAATGCAAAATAATACTTATTTCTTAGGGGAATAATACTCAGCGATGCCACAAACCTTAAATCGAAAGAGAAACAAGAACTGGGAAGCGGTAGCCTGCGTATGACCAGACGAAAGAAGCAGCAATTGGACAAACTGTGTGTACTTTGAAGATTCTCCTCTGGGATGAGATGCTGCATAGTTCAAATGAAACTCGTCCCTCTGTCATCAGAGTAGAGGAGCCTTTACCTCTCTAGTTTCGGCAGTAAGTTGTTCTCCCGTCTTCAGACATCGATTCGATAATGAACTCCGTATTTCTTTCCTTTTCCTTCTTGTTGCTGAACAGTGCAACACTTTCTCGATATAATCCACCCTTCAGAAAAATTTTAACACTTGCCTTATATTAGTTTATCTAATCCCAGAAAAAGCCGCTGTTACGCAAAATGTACGAATACAACTTAGAATGATGTCACATAATAGAGTAGATTTGAAAGCAGGAATGACAAGCTTTTATGAAGGTCGCCTGCCACAACTAAAGCAGAAAAATATATGCCTTAGTTTTATCTGTTTGTTTCTGTTGATATTTTCTTTCTAAAAATTTCGGTTTTCTAGGCCGGAGCCGCTGTTTCCTTGAACTAGCGGCTCCGGTCTAGAAAATGTACAACATGTATACATAAAATACATCTGACCGCCTGTGTGGTCTAGTTGTCAGATTTACTGGCTACCAGATTTTCTGAGAAGTAGTGGGTCTGGAACGCGGTCCTCTCAGCCTCGTGAGGATAATTGAGGAGCTATTTCAAGGAAATAGCGGCTCTGGCCTAGAATACCAAGATTAATCCGTTGCGCAGACTACGCGACACCTTCTATCCGCTAAATTTGGCACAAACTTTGCCGACAAGCGGCGGTCTCTCGGTCGGTATAGTTCGCTTGCAGACTACAGGCTACGGAGTTTGTTTTGTTTTTTGTGTTGTATACAAAAAGCAATTAAAGAATCGAAGCCATTTAAGTAGACCGATACAATTTATCCACGGTTAAAATTCTTTGATATAAGTAGCTACTGGATACAGTTTTTTTTTTTTTTTTCAAATTAGTGCTGCGTCGTATTCTGTACGCTAGATTAATAGTCATGTATACATAAACAGGGGTCGGTCACGGTAGTCGAGCAGTCTAAGGCATGTACTATCTTCGCTCGCTTGGAAACCGGGATCGTGGGTTCGAATCCCACTGAGGGCATGGATGTTTAGTTTGTGTGTGTGCGTTTTTCTGTGTTTGTGTACAGGTAGAGGCCTTGCGACGAGCTAGGAGGTAGGAGGTAGGCCTAGGCCCACTGGGGCTGTAGTGCCAAGGAAAAAAAATACATAAACAGTTCATTACTTTACTTCTTAAGAACCATTGCAACGATTCCGAATAGCGTCATGATACCGATACTATAAAAATGAATATGATTCGAGAATATATATGACAGCACGACGCGTTACTGAGTAGACAGGATCGTAGCCAACAGCCACTTATATTAGTGAATTTCAACGTAAAATTAATTCCAATTATTTATAAAATTTTACACAGCTCAATCGGCATAGCGACAGCCTACGAGCTGGACGGCTCGAATTCGGTTCCCGACAGTGGAATAATTTTTTCTTCTCCACAGCGTCCAGACCGACTTTGAGGGCCATCCGCCCTTCTATCTAATGGATACCGGGGGCTTTTCCCCTGGGGTAAAGCTGCAAGGGTGTGTAGCTGACCATTCACATCCATCCAATGCCGAGGTCAAGAAAGGTGGAGCTATACCTCTCCTCCCCCGTATGTCTATATGGCATAGTGCTTAATTAATTAAGAAGATGGACAACTTAAAATTTTTATTCTTTTATGTGCATGTATTGCAAATTTTCCTTCAATAATTTGTATCCCTCTCAAGATGGTTATATTATGATAGGAATATGTCAGGGGTGTAATAGCATTTGATCATCAAAAATGAAGCAAATTAGATACATTTGAATGGAGATTTCACATTTTATCTTAAAAGTATGTCGACCAAAATGAGTCCTATTAAATCTCATTGATGTACTTTGGGTTACTTTCAAAATGATGTGAAGATATTTGAATATGACGGCATTACCTTTTGAAAACCTTGCCGTCTCAGTTTAGTTATAACAGGAGTCCGTGAAAGACATTAAAAAAACCATTGCATGTATTAATATATTTCTTTTATTCGGTCACTCGACAAATATGTGACGTACACGCCCACGACGGAGGGAGCGAACGCTGTTGTACATAACCCATTCATAGAATGATCCTTATTTTTTTTCCCCAAAACCCATTTAAACTGTCCTTTTTTTTTAAATCTTCTGAAGCAGGGACGTTCACAATTTTCATTGTTCCTTTAATGTAATTTTAACCACATTTCACGAAGAGTGCAGTGAGAAGATACAATACAATATTTATTTCCCGTATACGTTTTTCTTTTCATTTTGATTACCCTGACCTTCGCTGTATTTCAGCTTCACTCCTGGCAGAAAATGTAAATTGCAGAGCAATGTTAAATCGTCCTTAAAAAACGGAGTGGTTTGACACGGAAAGGGAGACAGACAAGAAGAAACTTAATGGAAAACTGCTTTATCGCGTATTGTTTTCTGTACATATAATTTTATTCCATATTCCGCTACTGCTTCTGAGAAGATACAATGCTCTGTCACATGTGAAAAGAATTAGTCCGTCCGTCAATTAAATATGTGCAGAAAACTTCTAATTAACTGCAAGAAAAGAGGAACAAAATGTAAAATAGTCCCTGTGTTTAATTAATTAAGCACTACTCCATGAAGACATATAGGGGAAGTGGAGGTATAGCTCCATCATTGAGTGCTCAGCTTCAGAAATGTGCATTTCTTTGTAGTTAGTGTAATGTATGAATGTAACACGAATTTCCGGATTCTGAATTGGCTCGTAAATTAGCATGTGCACGGGGTATAAATTATCCAGCGTACTTTTATAAAGAATGGATGCTTATATTGAAGTGGATGTGACTGGAACGGAAAAGGAAAGTCCTGGTTCCTTGAGATTCCGTCATAAGCGAGTTCTGCTGTTACGAAATACCGGCGAAGAGATGAAATCGATTCTCTGTTGAGTTCCATTCTTGCAGCTCTCTTATTGCTAAGCCGTGAGTAGCTGCAGGACTGGACAGACAGACCTATTGTAAAATGTCTGTGAGGATGCGTCACGCTTTGAGTAGGCAACCTTACGGAAAAAAAGTCATGTGTTTTCAACGAGATTTCAGGTATGATAACTTTCATTCCCATCATACATTAAAAATGTAATTTACTACCTTACTGCTAATGATGACTTAATGATTTACGGCACTATCTGATGATTCACATTACAAAATGTTTTAGATAGAGTATAGTTCTTCCAATATACATTTTGATCTGCGAGAAATGGCTCTTATAACAGAGAATATTTTTTGTTAAAGTTTTCTGCTGTTAGAAACTTACTTCTTCAGCCAACCAAGTGCCTTGTCAGAGATGAACCCCCCAAGTTGAGACCGAGGGTGCGAAAATGTGCTGCCTGATCAGGGCCACGTCACCTTTTGGGGGCCAGTAGGAGATGAGTACTGAGCAATGGCGAACTTAAGATTATGAGTGGGAAAGAAGCAAACTCGGAGAAAACGCTACTCTAGAGCCACTACGTCCGCCACTAATGATATAGTTTTACCAGGGATTGAACCTGATGCTCCGTTCCGAGAAGCCAGCGCCTAACCGCCAGTGATCTGTGTGCAACATTCTCAGTAAGCGGTCGTGTAGCCACAGTCACCATAATCATCAATATGTCGCTGTCACTATCACAACTAGTACCAACATGTCATCCTCACCACCACTGTCACCATTACTGTCACCACCATCAGCACTATCTTACCAGTGCTAAGACCAGTATCACCACCACTGTCACCATTACTGTCACCACCATCAGCACTATCTTACCAGTGCTAACACCACTATCACCACCACTGTCACCATTAGCAACACTAGCATCAGCCCTATCTTACCAGTGCTAACACCACTATCACCACCACTGTCACCATTACTGTCACCACCATCAGCACTATCTTACCAGTGCTAACACCACTATCATCATCATCAACAACACTACGGTTACCACTGCCATTATCGCCCTCAGTCTTCTTCTGCGTTATATTCATCAGAATTATCACAGAACTTCACGGTGTAGTGCATTGGTACCGCGATTCATATTCAGGCAATCCTNAGCACTATCTTACCAGTGCCAACACCACTATCACCACCACTGTCACCATTACTGTCACCACCATCAGCACTATCTTACCAGTGCTAACACCACTATCATCATCATCAACAACACTACGGTTACCACTGCCATTATCGCCCTCAGTCTTCTTCTGCGTTATATTCATCAGAATTATCACTGAACTTCACGGTGTAGTGGACTGGTACCGCGATTCATATTCAGGCAATCCTCGAACCTGGCGGTCCCGGGTTCGTCACCGTGACATGCGAGCATGTGGAAGAGATACAGACCTTGGCTCTAGATGGAAGTGAGTGACAGCTTCATGCTATGGCCGCTTTACTTCCGGGGGCAGAGCTCGCTTTACCCAGTTGGTAGTGGGCTAGGACTAATTTTGTGTAGTGATAAAGAAGGGAAAATTCCTCCCATGCCTGAAATGTCTTCGGTTCAGGCCGTAGCTAGACATTTTACTGAGTTGTACAGGATTCAGTTATCCTGCATGTGTAGACAAAGTTTTAAGAATAGAAACCGAAGGTTCAGCAGAGTTAATAAGAAGGCTCATTACTGGACACAATCCTGTGCCAGTGCNCATTGGTACCGCGATTCATATTCAGGCAATCCTCGAACCGAATATTGGTCCTCAGACTGGCGGTCCCGGGTTCGTCACCGTGACATGCGAGCATGTAGAAGAAATACAGACCTTGGCTCTAGATGGAAGTGAGTGACAGCTTCATGCTATGGCCGCTTTACTTCCGGGGGCAGAGCTCGCTTTACCCAGTTGGTAGTGGGCTAGGACTAATTTTGTGTAGTGATAAAGAAGGGAAAATTCCTCCCATGCCTGAAATGTCTTCGGTTCAGGCCGTAGCTAGACATTTTACTGAGTTGTACAGGATTCAGTTATCCTGCATGTGTAGACAAAGTTTTAAGAATAGAAACCGAAGGTTCAACAGAGTTAATAAAAACGCTTACTACTGGACACAATCCTGTGCCAGTGCAATCTTCACAGCCTACTTTTTCAGGATTCAATTTTTCGTGTCATAATCATTGAAAGTTATCAGCTAAAATTTTGCTGAAGGTCACTATTTTGTTATTTTATATTTTTATAAAAAAGATATACCTAACTTCATTGAAGATCTGCTTTTCCCAAAATTTCAAGACTCCCTGCATTGTATGTTGAATGTATAAAGGGTGGGCCTACTTGGCCCTTGCACCGCGACTACAGTGATCTATTGTGCCTTCCATTGTATGTTACTCTAGTGTGTGTTTTTGTCTCACCAAATGGTACCGGCGACATGTTGAAACTGGAAGCGATGTGGCCCCATTGGCGTGATGCTCATGCCGAAATTTAAGAAAATCCTTCAATTGATGCCTACAATATTGATGCCCTTAATTGCATAAAACATTGATGTGTCTGCCATCTGCTTCAGCAGCGACAATATCGCATTATCCCCAGCGGATTGCATTTTTTGGGTTTCCCTTGGTTTTCATATGAAATATAAAATATTTTCCTGAATGTAATTAACAGAGAGCCGATCAGAGTGGCCGCGCGGTGTTAAGGCATGAACTGTCTCCGCTCGCTGGAGCGCTGGAATCGTGAGTTCGAATCACACTCAAGGCATGGATGTCTGCATTTTGTGCGTTTATTCTGAGTTTCTGAGTTTGTGTTGTTCTATGTGGAGGTAGAGATCTTGTGACGGGCTGATTCCCCGTACAAGGAGTCCTACCTGCTGTGTTAAAGATTAAGAAACTGAANNNATAATAATAAAAATGATGATGATGATAATAATAATAAACATCATAAACATATATTTGCAACTTAGATATGGTGTATGTGTTTTGGAGGTGGTAAATGAATTTTAAATCATTGCTTATGAATATTAACCTTTAAAGGGCTAATAGCATAAATTAGTCCTGCTGTACCATAGAGCGTAACATTACTACTACTATTCTTACCTTGATTAGGGCACTTATTTTATATACGTTCTTTAATGACAGACTTTTTTATAATTTCTGTTGCCACTCAGGCAGCAAAACTAATTCTGCAGTAGGTGTGTTCTTTTCAGTTATTCGCAATATCCTCTTGCATCGTGAGGCGTAACGGGGACAGCAGTTGGAAGGCAACCCACACTGCACTTGTAGTCTGCGTGGCATTTGTTTCCACCAAATGCATCGTATTATTTATTGTCATATTCCTTAATGATGTTGTTCCAGTTATAGAATGTTACAGCGTCCTATGAGATGAAAATTTGTCCATAAATGATGACTTGAATGGAGCCGGATACAGCCTGTTTGATGACACTCTCTCGAAATGTTGTCCATATGAAGTTTACTTGGTGGATTTCAATGAAATTTGGTATTGCGGTGTAGAATGGAAGTAATTGGGCCAATTTAATTTTTGTCGGCCCAATATAACCCTGTTTCACACAAGATATAAAGTAATATTTATTTCATTTTGTAAAGAATATGACGGGATTGGTACGTGACCAGGTTTGGACCTCATAATGATCTTAACGTTTGTTTAAAACAGTGAATATTTAGCACTGACTCGTGCAGTGTGATGCATCTACTGAGATGAATGTCGCAGCAGCCATATTGGTATGGAAGAGTTGCGTCTGCAACAAATGAACATCGAGGACAATGAGCAGTGAGAAACGAAAAAGCCGCTAAGCATACTATAGGAGTATTTGTATACTCCATATTTGCTATTGACGGTTATATGTATAAGGTTGATAAACTTGTCTAAGAAGAATGCGTCTTCTGGGATGTGGCGCCGTGTAGATATTGTCAATCGACGTTTCGGAGGAACTTATCCCCTCCATAATCAGGGTATAAGAAATCCGCTATCGATGAACCAGCGTGAGCAGGTGGCTGCGATGGAGGCGATACGTTCCTCCGAAACATCTTTTAACACAATATCGACACGGCTCCACATCCGAGAAGAATACATTCTTCATAGTCACCGCCGTGAAAACATCCAAATCTTACATTGCCTGCGAAGAATTCACTTCTTTCCTTCGGGTACCTTCACGTAGGACGCAAGATATTCTGTAAAAAAGAAGTGCAGATTGTCCCTATTATGAGTCTATAAACAAAACCTGTTATTTCCAGGTTATTCACATTGTGGTTTGATTTGATTTCGCGAACTCTTTAATCCACGTCTTTTTTTTTTTAAATTTAATTTGATAAGCCCCAATTAAATTATAAGAAAATGCTCCAAATAGTTCAGCCAGTATAATAACTGGGGTACGGGGTGGACAACCGGAGTTCGATTCTGGTCAGGCACTGGGATATTTCTTTTACCCACTGCGTTCGCTGCTTCTTTGGTTTGGGAAACTGCATTGCCAAGTGTTGATTGCATTGCTGGTCTTTACAGTGGTTCGAAGTGTTCGTGAAAGGCTTCATCGTATGCCGTGCCGCTTGTTTTGGCGTCTTTGTCAGTGCAAAAGGCATGCTGCCAGACCCTAAGAACACACTTCCTCGTCCGGTGACTGCAGCTGGCACTGCGATATAGCGTACATAGCCTTGTCACTCTACGACCGGCAGTATCTATACGAAAGCACTGCAAGCTTGGACTGTCGTTTTTACACGTAGAGGGGTCATGAAGCTTTCATGGGTGCGTTCTGAATTATCAGAGGAACATGAGGTGCCATAGAGGAGCCGGGATAGCGCAGTCGGTATAACGACTGGCTGCAGGCTGGACGACCAAGGGGTCAGAGTTCGAGCCCCGGTGGTTTCAAGAATTGTTACTTCTCCACGTTGTCCAGACCGACTCTGGGGTCCCCCCAACCTCCTATCCAATGGGTACCGGGGGCTCTTTCCCCGGGGGTAAAGAGGCCGGGACGTTAAGCTGACCACACACATTCAGTTAGTGCCGAGGTCAAGAAAATATGGATTTATACATCCACTCCCCCATACGTCTTCATTGCATAGTGCTTAATTAGTTAATCACAGGGACAACCTTACCTTTACAAGAGGTGCTATTATTATGCTCATGTTCTGTGATGGATTCAAGGCGTTCTTCTTGGGGGGGGGGGAAAACACAGCGTAATATATTCATTGCAATTGACGTCATGAACAAACCATCATTAGATATGGCGGCTGCAAAGTTAGCTCACGGTGGATAGACCAGCTAGCTTACAGTGTCTCCCTATAAGTAACTAAGTTCAGTGCCCGGAAAATTTTATTATTCTTCCCTGAAGATAGACACTTCAGGTTACTCAGGAACCTTGGAAACTTTCTACCGGGCTACACGGCGTCACATCACAGAAGACATATTCATATTCACTGGCATGTGAAAACTAAATCTAATTTAACCTGAGAAGTAGTTCTTCAAAATAAATGATTAATCTTCAGAAACATTAATGACCTTCTTGGCTACAGTTCAGCCTGACAATAGTGGAGTTCTTTTCTTAAGTAGCGGTGCGTAAAGTCGAACGCCGCAACCCCAAATAATAGGAAGAAGGCCGGCAGATAGGACTAGCAGCTTAACGTGGGCTCAGAATCACAGCGTCTCTCTTACTCCTTAAATTTGCAAGGTTTTGCCTCTGTCAGAGATGAAGGAAGGGGAAACGGAGAATCCTACGCTGGATGTGTCGCTGTGAAAGCCGAAGTTTTCGGCACGAGCAGCCAGGCACACTTATTCAGAAACACATTTCCGTTACTCGGAACCGACAAATGTGTGGCGTGTCAATATGCAGATATTTTGCTAGAAGAGCACGCACTCTTACACAGTTACGTTTCTACATTTCCATTTCTGCAGTATGTAGACACTAATGTTACCGGTTTGAATGTTCCAGGTGCGAAGACAAGTGCCGTGAACATTACGAAGTTTTCTATGAGAAAGGAGGGTACTTTGCACCCCTGAGGAACCACAACTAATTTTTTGGAAGTACAGGTAAGAAAAGAAAAGATACATTTTAGTGACTTGCAGGTATGGTTAGGCTTCATAGTACACACTATTTGTCTATGGCTCCACAGTCCTTCGTTGGGCCTTGCTCACTTTTCAGTTTCTTAACCCTATACACAATAGGTAGGACTTACTGGACGGAGGATCAGTCCGTCGCAAGGCCTCTATCTATTCACAGAACAACACAAACACAAAATAAAGGCATACAGACATCCATACCTCGAGTGGGATTCGAACCCACGATCCTAGTATTCGAGCGGGCGAAGATTGATCGTGTCTTAGACGGCGCGGCCACTGTAATCGGCTTCATAGTACACAGACATAGCCCTTAATTCGATTCTTGGGTTTCCCAACGGCACCGTACCAACTTTTTTGCACTACAATCCAATCTCATCAATGGCCTTCTCTCATTGTAGAGCATTTCGAAATTCTTATTTCGAGAAGATTTAGGGTTACTTTGAGGAATGAATGAAGTCGTTGCAACATCTTTCTGGCTAATGTAGGCTCCGAGCGGGATTAGAACCCACGACCCAAGTATTCGAAACAGCAAAGGTTGTTTAGCTCCTAATGACGTGAGGATATGAACGACCCTGCGATGAATTTGGAGGAACTGGGGAAGAATTCGCCTAGGTTCATTTCGGTTTTTACTCTGAGATTTGGCTGCACATGATCTGCATATCCACGCCTAACATTTTAAAGTGCTGTAACAACAATAATAATATATTTAATTTAATTTATTAAAGTGCTTGACTAAAGTTTATAGAGAATATATAGGTATAGATGATATGAAAAAAAAAACACAGTTCTAAGAACTGAATAACGTAAATAAAATTACAGGTTAGAACGAAAGTATTAAATACTATTAAAAGTGTTATTAAGGGACTGATAGTATCAGTCAAAGAAGGGCGCCTTGCTGGAGGTGTCAGCACATGTGCAGACAAAATCTGCCGCAGAAGAACATCCGGTGTGGGAGTAACTTCCGCTCGATGACAAACGTCAAACATTGAAAGGCTCTAACTGACCAAGTAGGCATACATAAAAGCTACCCCTGTAACAGACCATGGAGGCCCATAGGTTTGTGAGACGTTGGGGGTGCCACATTTTCTAAACAGTCGGTTCACAGATGGCAGTAAAGTTGTCAGCCTTACGCGCCGCCCGCCCTTTACCACCCAGAAAGATTCCTGGTACTCATTTCTCTTAGAGGCTGAGTCGACCTCGGGGCCATAGTGCTACTGGAACGATTAGGTCAGTTAAAAATCCACTTAATCGGGACTCGAACCCGCGACCTTCCGGCTTGTAGCATAGTGCCTCAACCAACTACGTTACGGCGTACCTCAGCAGGAACACGTACATTAACAGTATTAAAATAGATGAACAAAAAATTTGTTTTAGACACTAGTGAGAAATAAAGGATAAAATATTCCCCGCCCCGGACCACAGTGTTGCAAACTTAATAACAAATAAACAATAATTTAATTCAGTTCTTTACATGCTGACACAGTAACCCAAAGGCCAACTATGAAGTAATCATGAGCAAAGACACAAATCAAGTTAAAGTAAAATTATTCTTGGGATATTACTTAATTAATCTAAACACCAAGAAGGCATATGGGTGAGTGGAGATATAGCTCCACCATTCTCAATCTCGGCACTAGATCGAGATGAGTCTTCAGCTTCACTCCCTCAATACTTACTGCGTAAGAGGCTGAATGGGCCTCAGAGCCGGTCTGGACGATACGGAGAGCGCAGCACCGTATCCGCTTATAACGCATGAAACAACTCGGGAGCCGCTGGACGGACTGTCTGTCCTGTAACGCATGAAACAACTCGGGAGCCGCTGGACGGACTGTCCTGTAGCGCATGAAAGAACTCCGTGGCCGCTGGACGGACTGTCCTGTAACGCATGAAACAACTCCGTGGCCGCTGGACGGACTGTCCTGTAAAGCATTAAACAACTCCGTGGCCGCTGGACGGACTGTCCTGTAACGCATGAAACAACTCGGGGGCCGCTGGACGGACTGTCCTGTAACGCATGAAACAACTCGGTGGCCGCTGGGCGGACTGTCGTGTAACTCATGAAACAACTCGGGGGCCGCTGGACGGACTGTCCTGTAACGCATGAAACAACTCGGGGGCCGCTGGACGGACTGTCCTGTAACGCATGAAACAACTGGGGGGCCCCTGGACGGACTGTCATGTAGCACATGAAAGAACTCCGTGACAGCTGGACGGATTTTAACGAAATATGATAATGGAGAATTCTACGAAAAATTGTCAGTTCGGTTCTGTTTTCATTTAGATATTTAGTGGCAACTTTATATGAAGACACACATACATCTTCATGCGGATCTCGTCATATGTTCTTCGGAGAGAAAAATATTCGAACAAATGACCGCTGGACGCATTTTAACGAAATATGATGATGGAGAATTCTACGGAAAATTGTCAGTTCGGTTCTGTTTTCATAGATATTTAGTGGCAACTTTATATGAAGACACACATACATCTTCATGCGGATCTCGTCATATGTTCTTCGGAGAGAAAAATATTCGAACAAATGCCGTAAAAAAATTGGACGCACACATTTAATGTTCATTTCATTTTTTTCCTGTAAGTCGTAAGATTTTTGTGACTAATAAAGGGAATATCAAGTCTATATTTGCGAATATTCATATTGATTGATCAACCGTGGCTTCAGAATATAATAGTAGGTATAGAAAGGAAGAAATCTTTATTGACTTAAAACTGCATTAAAATTATATTTATTTTGTTCTTCTGATGTAGCACTCTATTACAACATGACTTTGAAACACGTAGTAATTTATAATTAGAGTTCGTAATAACAGTAAACTCCAGTCGCAGTGGCCCGCGGTCTAAAACGTGAAATTTATTCGCTCGCTTCGACGCTGGGATCGTAGGTTCGAATCCCACTTGAGGCATGGATGTTTGGTGTGTGTGCGTTTATTCTGGGTTTCTGTTGTCCTGAGTGTAGGTAGCGGCCTTGCCACAGGTTGATCACTCGTCTGAGGAGTCCTACCGTCTGTGAAAAATTATTACGGAACTAAATAAGAGGCCAGGGCCAAACAAAGATCTGTAGAGCCATTGATGAATGAATGGAAACTTCGTTTAATTTATTATCGAGAATAAAAGACTTCGATGAACTTCGGGTATGTTCGGGAGACCAGCTTTGATTGTTGAATTTAACTAGTTCGTGAAAGGTACGCGAAACTTATCAGTGTTTAACCTATTCTCTTGAAAACCGGAAGACTTAGGCAACACATGCATTGAACATAAAATATGTTTCATTTTTCTCTATAAATATTTTTCGAAACTTTTTTTCTCTGAAAAAATATGTAGTCTGTTCGAGGTACGCACAGTAACGTATCGATGCATTCATGTAAAGCGTCGTTATTTTCGTACAATTTAATAAAAATATAATATAGCTCCTCATATTTATTGAACTCTCCTATACTAAATTTCATGAAAACCTGTTTATCTTATGTTGTTTTATGCATACAGACAGACGGACGGTTGGAGCAAGCTTAATAGACGCTCCGAAAGGTCACTAACACGCTTAAAATTTCCGAATTCACTATAAAATCTTAGAAACACGAAACCGTAATTATTCACATCACAAGCTGTGACGTGATGGTGAGCTGTCAGTGTAGTTCAGCTTTCTCTGTTTTGAAGCCGTATATTTTTACGTGACAAACATCTCGTGGAGTGAAATGGAATTAGATAAATATTGATGTTAATGATAGTATGATAACTTGACACAGTTTTAAAATTCGTAGCAAAGGACTGTTTCGATAAGTTTTACTTGGAAATCCAGGTTCCATACAAATCATGCTGTTTGAATTAAAGACATAGATGACATGTGGTACCAAATTAAAAATGCAGATAGTATCCGCACAGATAAATGACGATGCCGGAAGTAAATAATGTGCCTGTTTGAACATATATTTACAATATTAACGAATAATTTCTTTTTTCGGCAGGCAACACATATAATATTGTGTTTATACATTTTGTATTGGGCATTCCTTTCTATGTAATATTTGAAATATGTTGGTCAGCCGGTATTTTCGCGCGCTTCTTGGAATGGAGCGTCATGATTGGTCGGGTTTACGCTCTGGCTGCAGGCGATCGCTCGTCCGGGCGTCGTCTGCAGCATTCAACATGGCTGTCCGTGCACAGAGTGTGATGGACCTGGACGTGTGTTACTGTGCTTGCTTGTTTGGATTTGTGTTGTTCACGGCAGTATACAGTTTACCAGGTAATAAGAATTAAATTATGGTTGCGTCTTTTTATTTTAAAGTTCGAACTCGTGCGAAGTAAAGAAATTGTTCGATATTTCTCTGCAAGGCTCTTCTTGTTTTCCAGTAAGCAGTTTTCTTCTGCGTCACTGTTTGTTTATGGTTAGGCGGAAGGGCAGAACTGCATGTTCCTATTATCTATACTATTTAAGAAAGTGTAAACGTTGTTGGTATATTTTTAGGAACACGAGATACATCCGTGTAAGATATGTTCGAAAGTTTTCATACTGAAATGGACGATTTTGAATGTTATAACACGTTTAGTAAGTGCAAAAAACGTAGCGGAACTTTCATCTTAAAATTAGCAGCAAACAATATTGCAGTGGACTAGTCCATGTAAAGTTTATGTCTCAATACATTTTAACCATTCTTCATTGGATTGCGGAAAGGCTGAACATAATGATTGATGTTATGTTACGGGTATTCTCGGAAGACTCTCAAGTATTGTACATTATGTTTCGGAGTCCGGTTATTCCGTTCTTAAAGAACTGTGTGCCCGAAATCAGCTACTTTATCCCATGGCTGTGCTTATAATTTTTTGCTGAAAATTCTAGTTTATGAAGGTGCGTTCTATGTTGATAGGACTACGTGATATGTAACAGACACTGCAACGGAAACAAGGGACTGGAACATATTGTAACACAGATACGTCTGGCTTTAACATAATATAAG